GCATTTTGGAGAAATGGTTGAAGGAAGGTTACATTAAACATAAACCTGATCAATTGACCATAAATCAGTATGAACCTGGACATGGTGAGTATTTCTTCTTTTAAAATTTCAATCATATGTTTCAAAACTAAGTAGCTTACATAACTCTCTGAGATCAAAGATGCTATTTTTTAGCTCAAACTATTACATTACTTTGCTTATGTTTGTTACCTGTGTTGACCTCAATCCCTTGCAAATCTGCACTTCGATCCCTTGAGGAACTTGCATCTCAAAGTGTAAATAGACTGACACAAGCCAGTTTGTGTTTTTTTTTTTTGTTCCCCTCTCAAAATTTCACTTAGAAAGGGAGACAATGGCTTGAAGAACATAGGAGACATATATAATGGAAGAAACTAAATAATTTACAGATACAGAGAGGGAGGATAATTGGTTGGATGATCTTTTTCTTTCTCCTCTATTTGAGAATGTGGAAGACAATTTTAAGATGGCATGTTGGTGAAAAATCTTTAGGCTATTGATTTCCTGTTAGTAGCATCTTCATCTGATACTTGTAGTAATCAAATGATTTTAAGGGTTTTATTTATTTATTTATTTTGACTTAAACAACAGAAATGCATTTTTTCACAGTTTGGAAGCTGTCGAGGTCCAAGATCAAGGTGCGGTGGATTGGGTTCCTGTTGAGGGCTCTCTTCCTGGCCTGCTGTGGGCCACCTTCTCTCAGTGTGTTCACATGGCCTTTTCTCTCTGTGTGAATGTGCACAGATATACAAAACTTCCACTTCTTATAAGGCCAATCTTATCAGATTGGGACCCCAGACTTACGGTCTTTTTAATTTAAGGATTTTATTAATGGCAGGAATTGTAGAGTTTTAGTTTCTTTACTACATTTGTCACAGTGAAAACTGAAGGCAGAACATAGCTTTAGATCTGTAGCCAAGTGGAGTTGTTAATACTTCACCTCTGAGTTAGAGAGACATACTGACCTTGTCACTGGGACAGCTGGACAACTGGAGACTTCCCCCAGAGAGGCAGAGGCTGCTCCCATAACATAGAACATGAAGGAGCGTGTGTTAGATCCTTCAAAGCAGCTATCTCTGAAAAAGAGAGAAGAAAGGGCTGAGCCAAGTGAGCTTGGCTGTAGACTAACCAATCAGCTAAGGCATTCCTTGTTTATCGTATTTACCTATCTATCTTTCCATTGATCTGTAAGCTTCTTGAGGATGGGGACTGTCTTACTTGCTTTGTGTACCCTCACCATGTAGCAATGTTTCTTTTACTTAAGAGGTGCTTAATTAATATAAATTGATAGATCTATGGAGGAAGGCTTATCTTAATTATTGATACGTTTAGTCTTTACACCTGGCTGTTGCTTTTGTTCTGCAAGTACTTGGGAATCCAGTGTTCCCAGGAAAAAATGACTTTTGTGTTTATCCTTCACATCTTCTTCTTGGGCTAGAATTGGATAAGTGTCCTAGTTAGGCAGTGACTCCCAACCCTTGATTTTAGAATCAAGTCCCAATGGCACTTTAACTTGAAGTTAAGACATTTTTAGTTTAGATTTAGTTTAATATATTTTAGTCGCATTCACCCTAAGTGTTTCCTTTTAACTGAAATTACAGTACCTTCCCAATTGCCAAACAGTGTTTTCACCATACTAGTGTGAGGCTATATTTAGAGTCATCTTAAGTCTAAAAGGAAAAATGAAGTGACATGTTATCCTATTTTCCATCTTAGGAATTCCTGCTCATATTGACACACATTCTGCTTTTGAGGATGAGATCGTTTCTCTCAGTTTGGGGTCAGAGGTAAATGTTTAAACATTTTTATTAGCTATCAGCATATGTCTTACCTTGTACAATGCCCTTTTCATAGGATTTACCCACATTCTTAATTAAAATGAATTAAGATTTAAAAATGTAAAGGAAGGGCACCATTAACATTTTGATTTCTTACAAATGTGCAGTTATCACAGCCTCTTCTTTTAAATAGAACAAGTTTTATCTGTCAGCTTATCGGATGCCAGGAAAACACTTGTAATTTAATTTTTTATTTTATACATATCACTTTTAGCAAAGTTAAAATCTAGACGTCCCTTTGTGCACCCTGGCCAACTTTTGACTTGCTTGATACAGTGTTGCCATCTAGTGGCAAAAGGCAATAGCTGCAGGCCATAGAAAAACGAAACAAAACTAAAATGTATGAGTCCAGAATTTTGATAAACTTTTAAAATATATTACCTGATTCAATCTTTTCAAAAACTCTAAGCAATCGAGGGCAATATCTTCATTTTTACAGATGAAAAATAAGAGACTCATGCTGATTCATTCATTTGTTTTTGTAGCAGCACTTTGCTTGAACTCCTAAAGAAGATATTAAAAGCGTGATGTAAGGTGATTCAGGCAAACTACGGACAGAATTTTAGGTAGAAATCAGAATTTTAAATCTAGAAGAATCCTTAAAATATGAGGCCATCTAATCTAACTGGAGGTTGCATTACATTCTGATCTTGTTCTTGGAGGCAAATACTATTTACTGGTTTTCGTTTTTCCATATTTGTATAGTTCACATCCATCCTTTGGCTTCTTAATCTTTGCTGAACTTGTGTGATCATGTTGATATTGTAACTAGACAATCAGTGCTGTTTCTCTGATATGACAAAACCATCTTATCAACTACATGTGTGGAGTCTTAATATAGGTGCTTTCAAAAATAATGAGCAGGAGAAGGAAAGAAGGAGCTTTTCTCTGGTTTATTTTTATCCCCCATCTTACTTGTAGCTTTAGGGGACCAGTGAAGAACATCTTTGTTTTTTCTTCCCAACTCTGTAACCAGTTGAGAAATGAGACAAAAGATAATTGAAGATCAGAATGTCAACTTTACTAGTTGAAAAAACCGATGGCACAATATGGCTTCAGATCTGTATCCAAGTGGATTTGTTAATATTTCATCACTGAATTAGAGACATACTGACCTTGTCACTGGCACAGCTGGACAACTGGAGACCTCCCCTGTTGAGACAGGGGCTGCTCTTATAGCATAGGACAGCCGTCCCCAACCATTTTGGCACCAGGGACTGGTTTCATGGAAGACAATTTTTCCACAGATGGCAGCGGGGGAGGGGGAGCTCAGGCGGTGGTGCGAGCAATGGGGAGTGGCTGTAAACATAGATGAAGCTTTTCTTGCTCACCTGCCACTCACCTCCTGCTGTACACCTCCTCCCCCACCTAGTTTCATGGAAGACAATTTTTCCACGGAGGGGAGGGGAAGGGGGGTGGCAGCGGAGCTCTGTGGCCCAGTTCCTAATGGGGCATGGACCGATACTGGTCCACAGCCTGGGGGTTGGAGACGGCAGACGTGGGACATGAGGAGCATGTGTTAGATCCTTCAAACCAGCTGGCTCTGAAAAAGAGGAAAGGGCCGAGCCAAGTGAGCTTGGCTCCTGACTAGCTAGTCAGCCAAGGCATTCCTTCTTTCTTGGGGAGTTGTAAGTGAAGGGGTGGAGAAAAGCTAGGAGTATGCTTTCTACTTTTTACTCCTAGGGAAATTCCGTCCCCTCCCAGGGAAATATGAAGTATGGGGACTCAGTATCCCACCAACA